TTTAAATTCGCTAAATGTTAAATTTGAAAAGTTCAGAGTTGAATTTGTTAATAAAATAAATTCATCAACGGACTTATTGTCTACATAAGGAATTTTATTTGATAGACTTTGTCCTATTGTTGAAAAAAACTTGTTAAATTCGGTGGCAATTTCCTTCGAATTGTTAATTATTTTATTTTTAATTTTTATTGCAGCCGGCATAGATTTTGTGCATTCTAAGTGTTCAAAATAAATAATTGTATTTAATTGTACTGCAATTAACCAACATAAGCTTTGCGAGATTTTTTGCTTGCAAAAGTTCGATAACTGCACCAAAGTCTAGTTTCCTTGCAAGTGGCGCCTCAACCGCTAGTCTTCCCAAATTAGAAAGTCGATCTTGACACATCGTAGAATGTAAAACATTTTTAACTCTTACAAGCGTGCTGAAAGAGCGTTCTGTTTGTGCAACGGTAACTGGAAGTGTACAAAAAATTCTAAGAACAACTAAAATGTTTGGGAAAAAAGAATCAAACTTCAACTCATGGAGTTTGTTTAATAATTGAAACGGCGATAATTGTGTTATGCCAAGATTTGATGCGTGAATTGCTTTTAAATGTTCAAACTAGTCTATTAAATTGAGAGAAACATCAATGCTGTATTTAACGCAAATAGATGAAGCTTTCTCACGCAGCAAATCTTAATCTAATGTCATGTATTTCCATACAACACCAAATATTTCCTCAAGATCTTTAGCAGCCTCAAAACGCCAATTCATATTACCAATGACACAGTCTAAAAGAACATAAAAAACATCGCGCTTGAAACAAAATTCTGCACTGGTGTTGCCTAATTTATTATTCTGTTCCTCATCTGAAAAACTAGCTTTTCGGCTGCGTTTTTTCTCCGGGAATATGTCATTGGAAACCATACCCAGATTTTCGGCAACAAGCTTACATTCATTTAAAATTGAATCCCAGTTGTTACTCAATAACAAGAGGTCATCAATTAAGCTTTTTAAATTTAAAACCTCCACATTTTAAGTTGCATCTCCGGCTTGCAGAACTGTGTTTCTGTAATTGATGCTTATTAGAATTTTAAACCAAGTGTTTGCGAGTATAATGCACTCAAATGAGTAGTAAGATTAGCTTCTTTAAATCTTTAAGCAGTAAGATTTAGCTTTTTTAAGTCTTGGATAGCACTCTTTAAACCAGAAATATGTTCTGCAAAAGGTTTTACCCTTTTAATCCTGGCTGATCAACGTGTATCTGACATGCTATACAAAGAGCATCCAATGTTTTCTTTTAAAATTTGCCATCTTTGCGGGCTAGAGCTGAACAAGTTATAAGTCTTTTGCACAACACCGAAAAAGTTTATAACCTCTGCACAGCACTCTGTGGCATGGACACCACACAGATTTAAGCTATGACAAGCACATGGAGAATAAATTGCCAATTGGTTCTCTTTAATTATCTCTGCTTGTGCTCCTTTATATTGACCGCTTATGTTGCTACCGTTGTCATAACCTTGACCACGACAGTCTATCATTGGTATATTGTGTTTTTTAATAACACTGCAAATGAATTCAGTAATGGCTTTCCCCGTTTTCTGATTGCAGTCAACGAACTCTAGAAATCGCTCTTGAACTTCGTAGAGACTATTTTCTTCATTTAAATAAACATAACGCAATATAAATACAGTTTGTTCCATATGTGCTGAATCAGGGATTGCATCAACAAGTATTGAGTAATATTTTGCAACTTCTCGTTCACTTAGAATAAAGTCTAATACTTTTTTGACACAACACTCTATAAACTCATTTTGTATTTCCGGTGAAAGGTAATTTGCTTGTTGTCTTCTCTTCAACTTCTGCGACTTCATCACTTTGTTCAGATGGTCTTTTAAGATAGAATCATAATAGCTCAAAAGCTCTAAAATGCCCTCAAAATTGCCATTTGCTGCAACTCCAACTAAATCACTTGTTCCTCTAAATCCCAAACCTCGTTCGGCTAGAAACAATTTGAGATCTAAAATTCGGCGAAGAACCTGTTTCCACTGTGATGCTTGATTCTTAATGGTCAGCAGCAGCATAATATCGACAGTGGAATTAGAGTCAATATTTTTTCCAATAGCCGCCATTTAATACAATAATATTTATGGTTGCTGCTGTTTTGATGCTCTGATATTTGTCATGTAATTTTTTCCATTTTCTTTGAAAACAATACCCAGATATAGTTGTTAAACGTGAGCAATTTGCTGTTAGTAGTTTGCTAAAAAGGGACAAGGAAAACAAAATATCGATTGTTTAACTTGGCTCCAAACAAGCCAATCACGAGGAACATATTCTCCATTTTTCATACTTGTATGTAGTATACAAACAGGAAATGAATGTCCGTTCACATCCTTAGGAAATTGAGATGGGATTTTTTCTGGACACCTACGAACTTCTTCCTCAATTTCAGAAGCATTTGGTCTTTTATTTTTTAGACTACCAACATTGAAGTCAAGCAGTTTTGTTTTAGTAATTTTATTATCAGTTATATTTGATTTATAATTCTCACTGATATTGTTGATAGGAACTAAAACATTGCCGGGCTCCACGTCATCTTTATTTTCTATGTTATCAGGATCTGGAAAGTCGGCAGTCACATTAATTAAATCTGCAGCTTGTCAAACAACGTTTTTGTTATTGTTAAAATTAGCTTCTACATTATGATATTCATTTTCTAAATCTTTCTCTTTCGAAGACACTGAAAATCCATAACTTTGAAGTAGAGTTTATTTTTCATTTACATTTTTCAATCTCGACAATTTTTCTTTCCTTTTTTGAGATCCAGATTTGTGATGGTAGTTCATTTTTATTTGACTACTAAATAAGATTTTATATAAATTGGCATTAATTATCATTCCGGTAAATAAAACATTCTCTATATGATATAATATACCATACTAAAGATATGTCATTGATATATCGATGGTATGTATTATAAAGCAATATGTGTAACAAACACTCCTAAACATTAGCGTTGTGAGGGGAGACCAAAGCGGAAATGGCCCCTGTCGCGAAGGCTTTAAGAGGCCCAAAAAATTGAGGAGCAAGAAAAAAAATGAAATCAATTTTAACATAAAAACTAATAATTTCTTAATATTATTGTTAAAAAGCGCATTTAATTCATTTTTGCCCCGGTCGCAAAAATATTCGCTACGTCACTGATCTTAAGCGTCATTTAATTTATTAAATAAAGCAATTTATATAATTGAATGTTTTATACCTTATAACAAAACTCCATATACAACTGATTAAACTTTAACATAAAAATAAACTAAACTGTAGAATCAAATAGACAATTTTCTGGCTTTCTTTGTCTTTTATTTTAAAATACTGCAAGTGATTTAATGTTCTGCAAAAGATCTAAAGTACTCGAATTATTCAAACTATAAATGCTTCCAAATAATGTGTTCAAAGTATATTTTTTACTACATAATTCTTTTCTTGAGATATTTTCCTTTCGATTTATTTCCAAATAACTTAGCTTGTAAAATTTATAAAATATTTATTATGTATTGCATTTAAATTTAAGGTTTACGGTGAACTAATGTTAAAAACTGTAATTAGAACAACCAATCCAAATGCAGTATATTTAAAAAGGAAAATAGAATACTTTATAATTCACAAGTCCGGGCCCTTTATATATATATATACAGGACCGGCGCGAGTAGGGGTCACGTGGTGGGGGGGGGGTGTCTAAAAAAAATAAATAAATAAAATAAAAAGGTTCTCGTTTTTTAAAATTTACCGACTGCCATAACGACATTTGCCGACTGATTTACCGACTAACCTATCGACAGGGTCTACATTTGCCGACTAACTAGTCAAAAAGGGTCACATTTGCCACCCCCCCACACCCCCTATCGCGCCGGCCTTGTATATATATTATATATATATATATATATATATATATATATATATATATATATATATATATATATATATATATATATATATATATATATATATATATATATATATATATGTATATATATATATATATATATATATATATATATGTATATATATATATATATATATATATATATATATATATATATATATATATATATATATATATATATACATATATGAGCTCATGCTATATATAATGCTAAATTGCTATTTAAAACCTGCAGTTAAATGGGGTTCTATATCAAAGTTTTTCTTCTTATAGTCTACTTATCCTTAGCCATAGCTAAGGAGCCTCACCAGCACCCAACCAACCCAATACGATTACCAACCCAATATTTCTAGCAGCTAAAAATTAATATATTTAGTTTAGATTTAAACAGTATGAGCCAAACAAACAAATATAAGTGGACCAGAGCAGTTTGAATGGAAGGAGATGGTGAGGAAGAAGGTACTAACCTTACTAAATGAATTAAGGGTAATTTTGTTAGATGGCTAGTAAAATTAATGCCTTAAAAGCTTTATTGGAAAGTAAACCCCCTAGCAAAAATTGATTAAAGTTTAATCTTGTTAAACTAAAATGTAGTTCAAGTATGACTCAAATTCTGTGTTCTTTCTAATTGATGAGATTAATATTTTACTTATTTTTTGAGAAAACATTATTAGGTAATTTATGTTTGCGCACGTTTCCTATCTAACTAATAAATTAAATGCTCAAAATAATGGTTAACTTTTTTGATGATATTATTTATTTTTTTTCCTTTTCCGACGATCGTCATAATTGTAGATTTTAACTTTGCTACCACAGATTATCTCTAAAATGTAAACAAGGTAAATGTGGGTTTTTGTGATTTATGAAATGTAGTCCTGGATAACATAAACAAGTTAAATACTACTCATTTTTTACTGCCTAAATTGACTAAATTTCTAAATTTAAGTTTACAAATTTTTACACTTTAATATATTTAATTCTTAAATAGTTTACAAGAAAATGTTATTCTATACAGCAGTTTTTAAAATAAATTTTTTTTTCTTCAATATGTAAGAATCTAATTGGTGCATGATAGCTACTTTTTCTAATTTAAGAACCAAAAGTGTCTGGTCATAAAAGTAAGATTAAAATGCCACCTCTACCGCATTCATCAGGTAAAGGCAGAAAAGGTAAAGAGAAAAATAAAAGTTTTTCTAAAATGTATATATTTATATCGTTTATTGATCAACTATATTGAAGTAACGGTAATGATTGTGTCTATATAGAGACCTAAAGACTTAGAGAGACCTGTTTTTTTTGCCAACTAGATCTTATTGCCAAAAAACACAAATCTCAGAAGGTGTTGGTTCCTACTTCATCAGCATTATGCAATAACGGAAGATTTCAGGTAGTGTTTAATACCTTTCAATATAATTTAGTTCTATGCGGAAAAGCTTTTCGTGTAATAGTTATGCAACAAGCAGATCTAAAAACTAACAACTTTTTTAATGCATTTCTTGTTGAAAGAAATTCGTTGAATTTTTTTTGAAACTTGTTTTATGCTTGTTTAATTTTTGTATATAAAGATTTTATTAGAACAGGACTTTTGTGAGCCCTTGTTATTTTTTTTAACTATGAATGTAATTTAATATGATTTAAAAATCTATGTTATCAATTATTTTCAGCATTACCAGATTTCAGCAGTAGCAGTAGCTCTAAACGATTGTCTCTTGCAAGGAATGAGAACCTTTCAACTAATAATACAGATACAATAAATATATATGTTGCATCATTTCAAAGTAAGTATATTTTTTCATTTACACTTTCTAATAAAGTTTCTTTAATTATGTAAATTGAGTAAAATTAAAAACCTTTTTGTAAGTTTAATTTTATTTCAAAAATTCGTTTTTCATTGTTTTTCATTTAAATATAATCAATATTTTAGTTTACAACTTTAAAACTCTGTTTTTTTTTCTTCCTTGAGCAACTATATAATTAGAATTGTTATTTGCAATGAAATTTCTAAACACTTCAAAACTTCTACTTTGATTTTGTTTGCCTTAGTCGCTTTAAAAAAGTATATTTACCCATGTCTGAGTCAGCAGACAAAGGGAAATATACTTTACATTAGCAATTTACAATATATTTTTTTTAATTTTAGAAAAAATAAGATAAGTTACAATCAGAAAAATTAAAGATAAAGTTAAGAAAATATTAGAAAATATATAAAATGGTTGTATGAAACAATCATAAATAGTTTTATGAGTCACTCATATATTTGCCATATATACTTGTATATATGGCAAATTAGTTTATCAACATATATATTTAAATTAAAATCTAGGTGAGTAACTGTTAAAATTCCAAACAAACTTGGGTCACTAAAATTAAGACAAGAATAAAAAGCATTAATTTATTTCAAATAACATTTTTGTTATTTTTCTAGCAACTATTTCAAAGTCGAAGAAGTATACAGAAAAAGATATCAAACATAGTATTGGTGTGACTTTAAAACACGCTCCATTGCGAAAAGGTGGTTTAAAAAATCCAAGTTATGACAACGATTAAAATCTCAAGAAATGAAATTTATAAATATGTTCTTTAAATATTGTTAATCATTTAATATTATTTAAATTAATATTATTTAAATTAATGTTTAAAATTTTTTTTATTTTAATTCTTGTTTTTTATTTTCCAGAAATTGAATTTTTATATGAGAAATTCTTAACTGCCTGCAATGCTAGTATAAAACATTTTTTTAAAAACCAAATATTTTAAAAGGGTAATAAACCTGAGAAGAAGCAGCTGCTTTTTGATTGCCTTATCATTTTAAAACTAAACTAGTTTGTTAAACATAATAGTTTGTTTACTCCTCATAAATATTTCTAAAAAACAATACTATTATTTAAGTTAATTGTTTGGATTTTTTGTGTATTACTTTATTTCAAATTTAATTGACATTTTTAGCACTTTCAATCTTTTATTAAACTGCTTCTGAAGATAAAGGGGATACCAAACGAGCAAAATGCGTATTTATATAGCTTTAACACACGAACATAGAAAAAACGTCGCTAAGGCACTAATATCCAGACGGTCCGTTTATAGTCACAAGTGCGACGTTATTACGACGTCATTACGACGTCAATTACACTTAGCGGGATTACACTTTACGACTATAAACGGACCGTTAGAATGCAACGTCTTCGCGACTGTAATTACAGTCCCTGTCCTAAAGTTGCAATCATTTCGAATATTTTATTACGATTAGTAAAAGCAATCGACTTTTATTCGACTTAGTCGGTTTCAAATAGTCAAATTTGATCGACTTTTGAAAATATATTAGATGATTTAGTTGACAGTCGAACTTTTAAATAGTCCTAACAACACCAGTTTTTCTCAAACAAATTGAGGCGAACGCCTCAAGCGCATTGAGGCTTACGCTTCGCCTCATATATAAGGAAACCACCTCAATACGCCTCACGCTTTTTTAAACTTTGGATGTAATAATGCCAATACAAAAGTTTGATTGAAGTCAAAATCATCCATATCTACGATTTTAGAAAATTAAAAATAGGGTTTATTTATATGACATTATTACAAAGTACAAAATTTAAACTTAAAAATATTAAAACTTAAAAGTATCAAAATTTAAAAGTATCGAAACTTAAAAATATCGAAACTTAAAAGTATCAAAATTAAAACGTAAAATTTAAAAATAAGTCAAAAATTTTAAATTAAAGTCAAAAACGCTGTAATCAAAATTTTAATTGAAGTAAAATTTTTCAAGTCAAAAACGCATGCGTTATGTTTTCTAAAAATTTAGTTGTCACTCCGAAATACTAAAAAAATGGAGTACATTAAACATCCGTCGAGCGGAACCCAACAAACCATGTGAGAAAATGTTATTATTAAAATATTAGTAATTTATGAAGGCGTTTTAAAAGTTTATGTCTAGCCATCAATTGATATAGATTTACTTTTGCAATGCATGTATAGAATTATTATTGCATTTTTTTTATATCAGGCAACCTTAAAAAACAAAACAAAAAAGTTAACATAAGTATACTAAAACCAATATTAAAATAAACTTTTAATATAAGTTTGATTTTGATTTAAGTTATTAAAAAATTATTAAAAATTGAAAATTAAATTGTTTTTATTTACAAAATTGTTAAAATGTTTAACTTTTAGGTATTGTTTTTAGATTATAGTCTAAAAGTAACCATTAAAAATTTATATGAGTTAGCTTTCAATGCGACCTTAAAAAACATGGAGCTCCTAGTTTGGAAATGTAACTTATTTGTTATAGTGATTGTCTAGGAGATAGATCAAAAGTGCTAGCTTTTGTAAATTTGTTCAAAAACTGGCCACTGAAAGAGTTCTCAGTTCGTAAAATTGATGTCAGGCTGCTAGATAAAGTTATATTACCTGTTGGATTTATTACATATTGAATTTAGGGTATTTTCTGATCGAGCTACAGATGCCATTTTAAATGCGCTAATAGATAGTAAATCTGTTTTATCATTGAAAAACTACTTTTGCCTTAATATTCAACAGACTTCAAGATCATTTTTTGATGCTTTTTTATATGCTCAAAAGTCACTTTTTTCACCACCAAAAAAAGCTTCTAATAGTTAAAACAATAGTCCTTCTATATGCAATAATTTAGTAGTTGTAACGAAATTTGTTATCAATTCTATGAACATTGGTGAATATTTAAGTTTAGTGCAAATGCAAATGCAAAAAAATATATATCTGTTTCAGTTATTGTCTCTCGACTAAAATTTGTTGATACTTCAACTACAGATATTATTAAAACTCTTAAAGTAACAAATAAAAAAGATCTTGTTAGTGTTGATATTAGCTTCAATTGTCTTCGTTCTTCAGCAGATCAAATGAAGAGTGTTTGTAATGAGTTAAAGTCTTTTAAAAATCTTGAAATTTTAACTGAGCTGTTGTCAAATCTTCAAACATTTCATTATATAAATTTTGCTGGTAACTTATTTAAGAGTGGAATCAACAATGTATTAGAATTTGGAATTCAAAATGTACACCTAAGAACATTTAATTTAACATTATGCTTTATTACTATTGACTGCTTGCACGCATTAATAAACAGTAAAAGTATAACAAGTTTGTGTGAGAATTTAAGTCAAAATCCAATACTAGCAAGTTGGCCCAAACCTAGCAGCGAAAATTCCAGTTGGTCAAAAAAATTTGATTCATATATTGCAACAACTGATTTAATTATGGAAGAACCGATTTCAACCAAAAGTGAACTACATACTGCTTTTAATAGTTTAAAAAAAAATAAAAGTGCAGGTATAGATCAAATTAATGTTAATGTAATTAAATCTGATTTTGATATTATTGAACCCTCATTATTCCATATTTTTAATCTCTCCCTTAAATCAGGTCATATTCCAGATAAACTATAGATTGCAAAAATAACACCTATTTTCAAATCTGGCGATCATACCAATATTTCAAACTACAGACCAATCTCAGTCTTACCCTGCTTTTCTAAATTAATTGAACGCATTGTGTACAACAGACTGTATAAATATCTATTTGAAAATAAGATTTTATATAATAAGCAATATGGTTTAAAAAAAAATCATTCTAATGACCATGCAATAATTGAATTGGTTAAGCATATATCAAATGGATTTAATAGTGATTGCTATACAATAGGGTTTTTTATTGATTTATCTAAAGCTTTCGATACAGTAAATCATGAAATTTTTTTGAAAAAATTAGAAAACTATGGTGTTAAAAATCAAAGTTTACTTTGGTTTAAATCATACTTAACTAACAAAAAGCAATTTATACTTAAAGAATCAAAAGACTCAAAAAACAACCTTATAACTTGTGGAGTACCCCAAGGTTCTATTTTGGGACCATTATTGTTCTTACTTTATATAAATGACTTATATTTATCATCAAAAGTATTTAAGTCTATCTTATTTGCTGATGACACTAATTTATTTTATTCTCACAAAGATATTACTGTTCTTTTTAAAATATTTAACGAAGAGTTAGATAAGATCAACAAGTAGTTTATAAGTAACTGACTATCATTAAATGTAGAGAAAACAAAATTTATCCTATTCCATAAACCTAGTAAAGCCGAGAATATTCCTCTTAAACTACCCAATCTTTTAATCAATAATAAAATAATTAAAAGGATTTTCTTTTATTATGATTTCTTTTTTTTTAATTTTTATCAACGGCAAAATAAATAGATAATAAAAAATAAATAATAATAAATAAAAAAAAGTTTTATGCATTTATTGGCTGATTTACTACTAAAATTCAAGCACAGTCTTACATATTTGGACATCTCAGTGTGCAATATTTGTAAAGAAAGTGTTATTGAGTTGTGTCCTGTCATTTCATGCGTGGCTCGTTTGGAAGTTCTATTTTTGTGGCAAAACCCTGGAATTAATCAGACTTCAGTAACTCAGGATATATTGCCTTTGTTGTCTATGATTTCAAATATCAGAATATTCCTATTTCAATTATGATTTTTATTTCAATTATATTTAATTTTTCATTTATTCTATCACAGAACAGAACATTATATATATTTACATAAGAGTGTCTTCGAAAACAACTTTTTTAAAACATTTTTGCTCTCACACCCTAAATGTTTTCTCTATAATAAAATAATACTGGAATTAAAAAAATTTTGAAAAAAATATCAGGGGCCATTCTAGACCAATCAACTGTATTTGGCCCAACCAAATACAGTCGATTGGTCTAGAATGGCCCTTGATATTTTCAGAGGTCAAGGACTTTTTTTTCTATGGCAAATATATATATATTTTTGAACGAATAAATATCCATATATAATAATGTTTCTGCCAAATTTTCTTATATCTAAAAATTACCTTTTTATATTTTCAATAAGGTGTCATTTAGGGATAGAAAAAAAACTTTTATTTAGCAAATAATTTTTGCTAAAAGTATTGAGCAAAAATAATTTGCTAAATACTTTTAGCAAATTATTTTTGCTCAATACTTTTAAAAATTACCCAAAAATTAAAATTACGATTAAGGTTTTAATCTTGCAACTATTAAGCATATAGATTAGGGTGAATCAACATTTTTAAAATTTGCTTTGTCTGAGTTCTTTAAGTGTTCTTCAAATAAAATAACACTAAATTTAAAAATTTTTTGCAGAAAATTTTTTTTAGAGGTGTCCCAAGATGCTTAAATATCTAAAGAGTCATTAATAAATATGTAAAAACATATTTGTACATAAAAAAGCAAAATTATATAAAAATTTGTAAACAATAATTGTTTTAATAAAAGTTTTTGATTTTGAATTAAAATTAAAAGAGTGCATTTTAACAAATATTCAAAAAAAAAAAATTCCTTAATATGTTTTTTATAAAACAAATATGCACTCATGTAGATATTTATATATATAGAGAGAAAGAGAGGAAAACGTAGGTTATGGCACAAAAGCAAAACATATGAACATAAAAGAATAAAGAGTCACAGTATAAAACATGTTTTAATGCTTTTTATGGGCTTCGAAAATTTTTATAACAGCCTCTATGCTTCACGACATGAGGACAACATGACACTAAAAATATTTAAGGATTGTTTTATGAGACGATGCTATCATTATGGCTTTTCCCACATCTGCTAGAAAGGTTGGTTCTTGTTTAGAATCTTCTGCTTTCAATTTTTTGCAACAGTTTTTAACAAGGTTTAAATCAGGTGAAATGACTGACCACAATCTAAAAACACTAACTGCAAGCCATCTTAAGAGCCCTGTGCATGCCTTATATGACCATGTGTACAATATTTCATTTATTTTTTGACAACTTTGTCACAGTTTTTTGCATATATAGGTAATTTGCGTGTTTTAAAAAACACTCTTAAAAAACCAAACAATTTTAATGAGAAAATAAAATATAAACAAACCATAAACTGAAAAGAGAAGCGGACTTAACGAATGATAAAACAAATTTAGGATAAACCAGAGAAAATAAAAACTAATATATTTTTTAATTTAGAATCTCAATTAATACTTTAAACTTAATTTAAATTTCAATTAATACTTTAAAGCTAATAATTATTCATATATATATATGTCATGTTGATGTTCATAGGTTGATTAATTATGACATCAGGTAAAAATTTACAACCATAATTGCTAGACATTGACTAACAGAAGGTACAATGTATCAGTGATTAAAGCATAAAATGTACGTTAAAATATAAGCAGCTTAGCTTTGCTTTATCTGAGAACAGGACATGTCAATTTTTTTGAGAATGATGTGGTCTTAATGCAGCACAGGACAAAAATTGTATCTTGCTGTGCAATGCATGATTGTTTTAAATATTGCTAACATACATATTTTGCATTTACAATTTGTTATCTTTAGTAATTACGAGTTGTTAGATCTTCCTGGCTGTAACTTGGCTTATATTACTGTGCCAAAGAGACTGTCAGGTTTTTTGCTATATCTCCCAAATGAAACCTTTTCTATTTAAGAGTATTTGTCTTATAACAATAAAAAAGAGCTTTTTGAACATCTGAACAATGTGCTAAAAGTCATAAATGGGGCAAAAAAGGAAAATATAGGGGGTCTTAGCACACATAAGCGTTTTAAATGCATGTTTGTAAATGCAAGTGAAATGATATTTAGTCAGTATCTTTTTTATAGTCTTGCATATGTAGCTTATGTAAGCTTGCAGGGCCCTAATATATATTTATATATATATATATATATATATATATATATATATATATATATATATATATATAGTCTTGCATATGGTAGTCGAAAAGTTTATTCGATAAACTGTAGTTTTAAAGAGAGAGCTAATTAACAAGACCAGAAAAAGTTTAAAAACTAAAACAATTTTTCTATTTTTATTTAATGATAGACTGTCTGCCCTAACCAAACCCTAAGTTGATGTCGCAGCACTCTGTTGTGAGTCAGGCATTAAGATTAAAACTCTGCGAGTCAGACTATAACATAGTCAATGTAGTGACATTCCCTTATATCAGTAGGCTATAAGATAGCCAAAATAGTAACACTCTGCGCAGGTTTAAAAAAAATGTTTTTAAAAACAAATCAATTTAAAAAACATCAATTATAAAATGTTGTTGTCAATAAAACTTAATGTACTTCTGCATTATTTTAATTGTTTTGACTTTTAGGCGATATAAAAATGTAACATTTGTTGAGGTCGCGTATTTGTTGTTAAAGAGACTTTTATTTTACCATAAAAGTCTCTTTCGACTTTTATGGTAAAATAAAAAAAAGTTCTTTAAAAATATATTGTTGGGTATCTAAAGAAGTGAAATTTTATGAAATTTATTTAAACTTTATTAGTTTATAAAAAACATTAAGAAAAAAAAATTATAACAAATTTTTTTTTTAAAAAATAGAAGTTTTTTTTATTTTTAGTTAAAAATTATAAATTTCTATGCAGTGAATGTTAAAATGTTTTTTTCATTAAATAATGATTATTTTAAAATTGTTATAAAGTTTTGCTTCTTTTGAGACCCAATATGTTATACTTTTAAAAAACATTTTTTTTGTGATAATATTAAGGGCTCGTCTGATGTTTAAGAGGCTATAGCTACCCTTAAATATATTGTTTTTCGAAGATTTATAAACACCAGTATTATGTTATTATATAGAACATGTACAGGGTTGTGGAGTCTGCATGTTAAATAATGAGTAAAATTTGGACCACCCTAATATATATGTATACATATATATATATATATATATATATATATATATATATATATATATATATATATATATATATATATATATATATATATATATATATATATATATATATATATATATATATACATATATTAGGGTGGTCCAAATTATTTAATATAATATAATTTATTATATATATAATATATATATATATATATATATATATATATATATATATATATATATATATATATATATATATATATATATATATTAACGATTGATATTTTAACGGGTTTTTTTGTTTCTTGTTTTGTATTACATGGCTGATGATTGCCTTTAGGCATGAAACTATTAGTACCATAAAAAGTTGTTTTCTTTATTTTTATAAATTAATATATATATATATATATATATATATATATATATATATATATATATATATATATATATATATATATATATATATATATATATATATATATATATATATATATTAGGGTGTGTCATGCTATTTTTCTTTCTGGATTGAAAACCATGTATTCTTCTTGTATTTTTATATAATATTACTAATAGAAGCTTATATTAAAAAATCTGAAATGGTTCAGCTAATGGTAATCGTTATTTAAAATTCATTTTAATTTGCAAAAAATTTCTTGCAAGAATAGCAAATTTTTGATTGTGGCTGTGTATTTTAAATGGCTTAAATTTTTTTTTACAATATTTTTTTTCATCTATTGTAAAGAAACTTTTATAAAAGTGTTTATTTAAAATCATTTAGTTATCAGTTTATTTAAAATCTTTAATTTTATTTAATACAGGGTTATTCATTCTTATATGCATGTCTGTTCATTTTTGTATGTGCCTTTGTTCATTCTTATATGCACATTTAATCATTCTTATATGCGCATATATTCATTCTTATATGCATTTTAAAAAACCAATTTGAACAAAAAAAATTGTTTTAGAAGTAAGCAGTTTGTTTTAAAAAAACAATTTGTTTTTTCAAAACAAGTTTTTCTTATTTCCCGGTTAACAAGGTTAAAAATACTTAAAAAAAGACTTTTCACATTCGATGATGGTTTATTTAATTTTGTATTAGGTCTTTGTTTAAATTTATTATTAAATTTATTGATTATACAATTAGTAAACATCAACTGTCTCGATAAATTCTACCTCTTAAAAAAACATCCCTTCTTTTATGAGAATAAACTTTACTTGCCGATAACAAGACCAATCTGCAACATTCATAGGCTGAAATATAATCTGTTTTGCTTTTTCTGTTGTCAGATCACAAGTAAGAATAGGCCCATAGGAGATAGTCGAGTCGATTAGCTGTATAAGTGTTGTTGAATCTGGTTTTATTTATGGAGTTATACTGGCTCTCACATTTTTATCACCAGTTTAAAGTTTTTTGTCACTGGGGCCTCTGATTTTTACAATTAACTTTATAGCTTTCTTTGTTTCATTTTCATTCTTTGAACAAAGCACTCTCTTTATGACAGATTCAGAAAAAGTATACCATGCTGAACATTGATCACTTGGCATAATAATTGCAACTACTTAACTTGATTGATGTTTCAGAAGGCTAAGCTGGTAAAGAATGTCTCAGTCCTTCAGTAAACCTGTGTTCGACTTCAATTTTATACCACATAGGCATGTAAACTCCCCCAATAAACTCAATTGTTAATTTATAGTTTTTTAAATTTTTGCCTTATAACTCATGTTTAGAGCAATCTTCCAGCAATGTATTGCTTCCACTTCCAACCAATGTATTGCTCTGCCTGAAGACCCTGTCTTAACACTAGTAGAATCACCTTTTATCGCCATTATATTTCAAAAAATTCATATATATTCTGAGCAATTACTTCAGCGTGTTTCATGTTTTTGAACTTTTTGAGGTGTCAAGTGGAAAATATATATACCATCGGGTTCTTGACACACTGTATAATGTTTCTCTTTGATTATTGCAGGAAAACGTTTAATCAAACTTTGAATTAATTATACTTTTGTATTATCAATTAATACCATCAAAAAAACACAATCGATAATGCTCGTGCATTGAGTTTCAAACTCGAATTTAAAGGAGACTGCATAATTTTTTCTTGAGCTCGCTTGACTTAGTTGTGATTAATAACTAATTTGGTATTGTCTTCTTTAATTATTCCTGCATCCATCCAAGCTGCTGTCGCAAAAGCAGGTGTTTCCTAAGCCTGTACTATTTATTATGCTTACCTAAACTATTAATTAACTTTTGTTTAATTAACTGATAAATAAAAAAATAACTTAAAAAATATTACTTTTTCCTGCAATCATCTTTATTCAATTTTATGTAGCTTTTTATTTTCTTTTAAGTCTGCTCATCTGATTTTATTGGTACTGGTAGTCCCTATTTTAGCTATATATATATATATATATATATATATATATATATATATATATATATATATATATATATATATATATATATATATATATATATATATATATATATATATATATATATATATATATATATATATATATATATATATATATATATATATATATATATATATATATATATATATATGTATATATAACAGTAAAACAGAGTTTTAAAAAGTTTTATATTTGATAGTATTTAATAAAAATTAAATTAAATTTTTTTTTTTAGTCTTTGCTGCCAATGTGGTACTCCAACTCCCCCGAACCCTTCAAATATATGCATTAATTGCATTCGTAGTCAAGTTGACATCTCTGAGGGAATTCAAAAACAAGCTATTCTTCCGTTCTGTAAAAGTTGTGAAAGGTATAAGTTCATTTTTTATTTTTAATTACTCTTTGATTTCTTTCTGTTTCAAAATTGATGTCTTCAAAATCTCATATGCTAAAACATTCAAAGACTGTGTTGCATTTGTTCTTATAAATGCTTTTATTCTTTAAAATTATAAAAATCACTTTTTTTATGTTAATTTACCTCTATAAGGCAAAGAAGGTTACTACAGTCAATGAGACTACTTTAATTTTAATTACAATCCTCTCTCAACTTTATAACTCCAAAACAAAAACCAAATTACTGCCCCCTCTTCCCTAGTTAAAACCTGTGCCAGGACAATGATTTTTATTCACCATTTTTTTAATATAGTATTTACCAATAGACATAACTATGTTACTTTAGTTACGATAAGAAAACTATTTTACTTAAGAATTTAATTTTACTATTTGTAAATAATTATTTAAAACTTTTTAAAGTTTTTTAAACATTTATTAATTATATTTTAATAAATTTTATATTAGTTGTTATAAATGTTTTAAATAATTAATAATCAAGTGTTTAATACTTTAAACAATTTTTAATCAATATTTACATTACATAATTAACATATATTAAATCGTGTAATTCTTGTAAATTTAACAAAATAGTTTAATGTCTTGTATTCAAATATCTATTCAAATAAAAAACACTTAGCAAACATATTATTATTTTATTTTTAAAATTTCAATTTAAATATTAGCTAATTTATTCTCTTAACTAAAGGTTTTTAAAATGTTTTAATTTTATAGTGATTTTAAGGAGCAAATTAAAAATAGTTAAAGAGATAATTACAGTAAATGTAATTTTAAAAATTTATATAAAAAATGATATATTTTTTAAAATTTAAAAACACATTGTTTTTTAAAAAATATATCTAATTTTTTTTCATTAAGTATATTAACTATTTGTTTAATAAATAATATTAACTATATTAACTATTTGTTTAATAAATAATTAAACTATATTTTTACTATGTTATTTGCTTACTTTGAAACTGTTCTCTTTTTTTTTTCTTTTAGTTTGTGTATATATATCGTATATATTATATATTGTATATATTATACAAAATGACACTTATTTTAATACTATTTTATCGTGTGATTTTTTTCTTTTTTTTTTCTTTTTCTCACACTCTCTTTCATTTAAATATTGTTCATTCATTATAAATACTTAATACTTTTTGTTGCTTTTTTTGTGTTGTGTTTTCGTTTGTTACGTGTTTTTTTGTATCTGATGTTGAGGTTTTACAACGGTCTTAATATTATTGCTTGATTTTAATCGTTATTATTATAATTGTTTTCGTTATTTTTATTATTACTATTTATTTTTATTATTATTTTCTGTTATATTACTGTTGTTGTTATGTAAACCCTATCATTGTTATTATATATTGTGTTATTACATATTATTATCACATATTATTTTAACTGTATTATTTAGATTATTAAGTACCTAATTATCTTAATAATACAGGTCGTTGATATAACTTATATTGGATAATATCTGTTATATCGATACCTGACTACTGATTCCATGTGTATCTATATATCAATATATTAGAGTCTGATATAATTTTGCCAATTTAAAAGAGTTTTTACAAGGATTTAAAAAAATTACCATTTTTATTACTAACTTTAGGAATTCAATCATTCAAATTAACATTCAAAACATAAAACCAATCAAAATGGAATTTTAAGATACCTTGGATACTTTTAACAAGCAGGAACTTCTTGCACTACTTCTTTTTGAGTCAAGTAAATATAGATTTCTTTGACAACTAGTGCAAATCATTGTAGAATATGCTTCTAAGTTTGGATCATGTTTATAATTAACAAAAGTATTAATTTTTTTCATGGATGGGTTCAGAAAATGTAAAAAACTTTTTTGATCTTGCTCCTTTATGCCCCAAGTAAACGCAGCAAACACTGAACCTTGAAGCCATTTTTAAAACTAAATTAATTTTAGTTAGGTATTTATCTAGTTTTATGTTGTTTCCAGGGATTTGTCAGTGCATCCACTGACTTTTAAAAAGAAAAAGTAAAGATAAAATATATTGTTTAATTTATTTAAAATATATGATAAAGTTAGCCTCGTTAGGGATTATGGTTTCTGTCCGGCTGATAACTTAATTAAAAAATTAAGGATCATTAGAATTCATTTGCAGTTTGTATGGAAATAAATTTAGTAGGTTCTATTTAAGATGGTGCAGCAATCAACAAGAACCTCATGCAATTAATGGACATTGTTGATTAATTTTCCTTTAATCATGCAATTCATCTTGGTGTATGTACAAGAAAAAAAAAGACAAACCTATTAGTTCCTAAGGAAACAAACAGTGATTTAGAAATTTATGATGATAATTTTAGTTTTGAATCAGTAAACAAGATTAATATCATCAGTTCATAATTAGTGAGTCCAAATAATCGTATTTTCAGTTATCCGGGTAATCGTGTGTTTATTTTTTTTATTATCCGGGTATCCGGGTAAAGGAAAAAAAAATTTACCCCCACCATGTTGTGTTAATTAAATTTAAAATAAAATGCAACAATTTTAGTTTTAAATCTATTTTTTATTTAAAAAATAATACTTTAAAAATACAAGTTTGTCAACCGTTTCCATTTTCAACTGATTTCGGGTTTTTGTGACAAAAGCTGAAGCTACGGAAAACACTCTTTCACTTACTGTTGACGTTGGTTGTATTGTCAATAATGCTGTAAAAAATTTTCCAATAGAGTCACCTCGTTTTGAACAATTTTTCTCCCACAACTTCATTTCTTTTTCCAATGTGGATTTTCTCTCATTATTTTCTTTCGGAACAGTCATAATTAATTCAATTTTTGGAGTTCATCATAATTTGAAACCAAACCATTATTTGAAATTATTTCTTCATTTTCAATTGTTAACTCTTTATCCATCTGTGTGTTTGCAGGATCTTCATTGAACAGCCTTTTGAAGGTTTTTTTAGCCAATAAATGAATAGAACTTTTTTTTTAATTAGTAAAATGGCAGTTAATATCTGGTTTAGGATAATTTCCAGATTATAAAAAATGCAAGAGTGATACAACATCCTCATTTCGTCTTTCTTCAATTCTTTTCTTCAAAGCAGTGAACATTTCCATGGCTAACTGCGTATTTGTTTCTTTTAGTTTGTTTAGCAAAAAAATGCATACTCCTTCAGCTTTTAAAAGATTATTATTATCTTTACTGAGCTCTTTAACAGCTCAACCGGTTGTAAAACATGTGATATTTCTTCTAAAACTTTGATATTTTTTTCTGAACATTTTTGCTGTCCTAATTCCATTAGAGCCTTTTGTATACAATCGTATATTTTTATGAAACGATTTACCATTGGTATTATTGAGTTCCATCTTGTTTTGCAATCACGTAGCAATCGTAACTTTTTGCCTACTTGATCTATTATATGCTTTCCAAGAACACTGCTTCGAACTGAAGAATATTTGAAAAATTTAATAATTATTCGTGTTTCATCAAGAATTTTGCCAATGTCTTCACGAAAGATTGGTAATTGTCTAACTGAATCATTTTGGAAATTTAAGTTACCATCAAAAGCAAATGCATCAGCTACCTCATCATTTTGTTCGGTAGTTTTAACACAATCATCATCTGCTAAATTTTCATCATATTCTAAATTCTCATCATCTTGGAAATTTGTATCAATTACTGCATCATCATTCGTAATTAAACTCCAATTTTTTTAATAAAATACATCAAGTACAGCAAGATGTATAGCATGGTTGTAGCATAACTGAGAAAATGGTAAAATATTATTTTCCCATATTTTACCATGACTGATGCTCCATCATGTGTGGATCCGACGATATCATTATCCATTTCAATTCCATAATCTTTAAGTTTTGCGTTTACCAAATCGATAGTGGCATTTGAATCACAAGAACCTATTATTGCAGATAGACCCAAGAATACAGGTGGGTTTGTTGCTGAATGAAGAGTGATATTCATGAACCTTCTAACAATTATATATCACTCCATTCATCGACAGAAATACTGAATCTCTCTCCAGATTTTTTTTGCTCTAATAACGACGCCATTAATTCTTCTTTTTTTTCTTTATAAAAATCCATTATATATTTCATTACCGTTGTTTCACTTTTTGGCATTTTATAATTACGACTTGCTACGAAACCCCTAATGGCTTCAGATGAAGTAATTCCTTTGATGCTAAATCCATTTTTTGTCGCACATTTCGCCAATATTTCATTCAATGATTCTTGACTTATGAAATTTATTATTCCATTTCCAACTGATTTTGTGTTTTTCGAAGAAGATGCATCAGTTTCATTTGTGTCGCCCAAATTTATTTTTTGTAAAGATATGATATGTAATTTTAAATGATTAATCATTCCAGTAGTATTAGATCCCGGACGTTGAATTATAGATTTGCATATGTTACAAACTGACTCCGATTTCTCTTTTTTTGTAAAATATTTTCCTACCTCTGATTTTTTCGAAGATATTTCTGGGTATATGTAAATCACTAAAATAAAAAATCACAACATAAAAATTGAAAATTGAAATTTATACGTATTTAAATACACATTTATTACTTGAAATTTAGTACATTTTACTCAAAACACTTCACTTACCAAAGGCAGCTATATATATTAGAAAATTAAGTATTTATTTTATTTATTTCACAAATTTTTTTTTAAATATTTCACTTTCTTGCAAATTTTATGTCGTACAACTTCAAATTACAAATGTTATTTATTTTATGTAACTTAGTTAAAAAAAAAACTTTTGAAACTTAGTTAAAAATCAACGGTTGCTAAGCAACTTTATTATATTAGAAGTAAAACAAGAAAAAACGGTAGAATACCGATACTCAATTGATTAATAGTTAAATGAATGTGCAATATTTACATTTTTTTTGTTTAAATATTATACTTGATACTCGAAAAAAATATTCCGAGTAGTCGACTACTCAGAACTTGCTTATAAAGTATTAATTACTCGGGTAATCGATAATCGTAATTGGATTCCCTATTCATAATCAAATTATTCAGAAGAAAGTTGCTAAGGAATTTGGTAATTAAATCAAACTGCATCTGAATGTTTGTCATCATTGGAATTCACTTTGTTCAATGGCTGCACCTTTGTTAAAAAATTAAGATATGTTTATTCTAGACATTTACTGAATTAAATGCTCTTGATGTAATCAACAAGCTAGATTTTGTGTCATTAGCTTAATTGCATGCATCTTTAGAGCCAGTAAAACTAGCAGTTGAATTCTCTAGCAGAAAAGATGCAACATTATCAACAGCAGATACTGTTCTTGAATTGGTGCTTCCAAAACTATTTGCTATGAATACAGAAATTGCATCTTTATTGCATTCAAATTTAAAAAATGCATCAATGAAAGAATTAGCGGAAATGTTATGCAGTTGTTAAGGTGCCTAAGAGATCCTTCAGTTGTTCCAAATTTTGTTAAATTTTGAAATTGTTTATAATTCATAATATAATTAAATTAAAATGTAAAATGTAATAATTAAATGTCCTTCAAAATACTACAATCAACAGTGAGGGATTCAATTTGTCAGTTTAAATGTACTGGTACAAAAAAGATAATAGAAAATATGGACGTCCCAGCATAACATCAAAGGCAAGTCAATTATACTCTCATGTAAAGGAAACAGACCAAGAAACAACTTAAATGTTCATAATAAAATTATTTCAGAAAAAACTGTTTAATATTGTTTGAAAACTGTTGACTTGAATGATAAAGTAACTATTCAAAGTTTTACTTTAAACTTTTTATTCAAACTTATTTCTTTTAGAAGCAATAATTTGAAAAAAAAAGCTGGGTTCTAGCGCATAAAAATTAAAGATGTACCGGATATTTTTGCCAGATATGCCAGATATTGAACTTTTCTCAAATTCTTTAAGTGTTTATAAAGTAAAAACAAGTTTTGCTATTCTACATTAAATAATGTTCAAGATTTAAAAAAAACAAAATCAATAAAAAACTGGTATAACACAGGTATATGCGTTTATAATGTATAAAGAAAAATCGTTTTTTAGCTAAGTTTTAGTTTTTTTAGTTACTATTTTCTATACTTTGTCAGTACATATACCATGTCAAACAGTTTTTCACTAATTTTTTAAGTAAGATCTTGAATACTATTTATTGTAGACTGACAAAAAAAAAAAATTTCTTTATAAACACTTATAGAACCTTAAAAAATTCACTATCCCGCATATCTGGCAACAATATCCAGTACACCTTTAATAAAAATTGGACTAAAATAAACTGGCAAATTGTATAAATCTAAAATTTTAGAGCAAATGACAGCTCTATGTGCAACAGTCAGTACAAAAAATTCAATCCTCATTTAGAATAGATATCTTAAGATATTATGCAGAACCATGCATATTATGCAGACCTTGATAACCTTAACAGCATAAATAGTCTTAAAATTCATAATGTTATCAATTTTGATATATTAAAATATAGAAATTGCAAGTATAAGCTCATTTATATGTTATATAATTATAGTTAGAATTTATAAAATCAACAAAATATTTTATTACTATCATAAATGCTGTTGTTTGTATCTTGAAAATAACTTTAGGAAATAATTTTTTTTTTTTTTTTACCTGTATTTACCTTTCTTAGACTAAGCTGAGGATGATGCGTTTTTTTAATTGTTGTTACTACCCTTTTTCAACTCCAAAAAATAAGCCTTGATGAAAAAAGCTGTTGCACAGAAAAACAAGTTGAGAGCAGTACTACCAGGGGATTGAATTCGGAGCTGATTGATGATGCGACTCTTCAAATTATAGTGCAAAATATGGAGCATAAAAATTTATAGATGCTGAGAAAATTGAGACAAAAGTGATGTGCTTCATATAAGACATGACTAATTCTGCTAATAGAAAGGAAGGTCTTATAGTTATTAAAATGTGTAACTTATATTTGTAATATAGTTATTAAAATGTGTAACTTTGTAAATACGTTTAAGGAAAAATTTAGTAATTCACAAATAATAAAAGTATATTTAAGAAATATAATAGTATATAGAAAGTATGATGCACATGGTTTTCAAAATAAGGACTAGGCAATAAAAAATATTTCATTTATAATCATTTTATTTGCTATAAAAACTTACAAAAAAACCTTTTTCTAATATTATAGCTTAGGAGAGTATTTTTTTGTACTTTTTTTCCAAAAGCTTTTCTTCAAAGTCAAAAGCCTTTTAAGTTAACCATCAGTGTTTTTTCTATTTTGACATTTTCATATTTGCTTTTTATAATATTTTTTCTTAATCTCTTAACAGCTGCTCACTGTTTTTCCTTAGAAGAAATACTTCATTAATATTTGTGTTAGAAAGAAAATAAGCTTAAATTTTTTTTTTTTTTTTTTTTTTTTTTTTTTTTTTTTTTTTTTTTTTTTTTTTTAGTTTTAATACTTTTAATGTTGTTTTTTATTTATTTTAATAAAATGTTCACATAATTCTTTGCTTAATTTTTTTTCTTCTAATATTTTTAATAGCTTTTATGTCTGCTAATTTTGTCTGTTCAATATTTTTTTGGTACATTTTTTTTTGTGATATTGTTTTCTAATTAAGTTATAATGGACAAATTAAAGCTTATAAAAAATAGTTTTTGTAAACTAATTGCTTTATTCTTCTAAAGAAATTTCATTTTTGAGTGTTGCTTACGAAACATTCATACAATTCTCCGGACTTTTTGAATTGTTTGTGCTATGCTTATGCAGCCTAATAGTTCGTCAGCGATCGTAACGTCTCGTAAATGTAATAAATCGTTGTTTTGACTTGACTGTAATTCCATTGAAGTTGTAAAACTGAATTCTTCAGACTCGTCATCTTCACTTTTATTTTCATCAGAATTCTGACTGTTTGATGCAAGTGAGACAAAACTCACTGCCGGATTAATTTGAAATCACACAAATCATTTTTTGTAGAGAACATCACAAACTGCTAAATGTAGCCCATGTGCATAACAAAGTTGATGTTTCATTGCGCTTATTCTTCCATATTTTTTCATAACTGATGCACTGTCAGTTACGCTAGAAATTATATGCTTTTTTGTAGATAAATTAAATTCTGATAATTTATTTTCAACCACATCAATAATTATTTCAGCTGAAAGCAACACAACTATTCGAACCAAGCCCAAGTTTCAAAGCCTAGTAAATGAAAGTAAAAGAAAGCCTAGAAAATGAATGCACATTTAAATTCAAATAACAACAATTTTTTAAAGATGTGCATTCGTCCATCAAAATAGAGAATCTTGAGCCATAATGAATTTGCATAGTCACTTCCTTAACCATTACTTTTTTTGCTAGATGGTATTAACTTTTTACTAAATTCATTACATGTGAAGGGTTTTTTTGGCAATATCGTTCCTTTGTCAGATAAAGATTTTCTTATAAATTAATAGCATTAATGAAAAAACCATCTTCAGCTGCCAATTTTGAAATGATTTCTTCTATAGATTCCTTTTTTATAAATGATGTATTTTTAGGTTGAGCATTTCTAACTTCAAAACTTGTGTCTTCCTTTGGCCTTTTTTCGGTACTTCAATTTTGACTTCCTTGTGAAGATTTTATAAATGACAAAGAAGACCACTAGTTGAAAATCCTTGGCACATTATTGTTGTTTTACATACATTACAAGTGGCAGACTCTGTGTTTTTTTCTTTTGTAAAATTTTCCCATGCCTTAGATCCACTTGACATCGTGCGCTATATTTGTTATCCTATTAATTAAATTAATTAATATATATATATATATATATATATATATATATATATATATATATATATATATATATATATATATATATATGTATATATATAAATATATATATATATATATATATATATATATATATATATATATATATATATATATATATATATATATATATATATATATATATATATATATGTATATATATAAATATATATATATATATATATATATATATATATATATATATATATATATATATATATATATATATATATATATATATATATATATATATATATATTGCCTACAATTAAATCCTGAAATAGTGTGTTAATAGTAGATTTACTTAAATTATTTAAAATTAGCTGTAATTACTAAACATTTTTTAAATTTCACTTACTTGGTTTTCACTTATTTCATTTTTTACATACAAACTACTTTCTTAATGTAACTAATTACTTTACTTACTAACTATAAACTTTTATGCGTAACTAATTACTTTTTTTGCACGTACAAGTACTTGTAACTTTCCCGTGGTTATTTTATATTGATTTGGTTTGTTTGTTTAAGCTTTATATGCTGTAAGTTACAACATAAAAGTAAATCAAATCTATTTATAAATTAAATTCAATAATAATATTTTATCTATCTTAGACACAAACCAAAACTGCAAAATATTGGTAATTCAATTGCCCTCTATAAGATATCTTCTTAATTTTTTATAGAAATTCATTATAAAAGGGAAAAGGAAGTAGTTAGTACTCAAATTTTGAGTAAAAATATTTTTAATATCTTTACAAATGTAAAGATATTAAAATGTTAGTACTCAAATATTGAAAATGTTAAACATATTAAAAATGTTAGTACTCAAAATTTGAGTAAAAATATGTTTAAAAAAATTACCGGGATTCCCATGAAATTTCATTGAAATCCCGAGATAATGGGATGGTATTTTACCTCCAGGATTCCGGGATCCCATTTGAGAAGCTCTATTAAAAAACTATTAAAGTAATAAAAGTACAGGTAGCTATGGTAACTATGAAAATTCTTGTATAAGTATTTTAATTCTAGTTTTTACTACTTTTTAGTTACTAAAAAAATTGGTAATAATTTTTTAAGTTAAAATCTTTTTTATCTTTAGATACTTCCATCCTCCAAGTTCATGGATACAATGTCAGTTAGAATCAAGAGAATTGCTTGCTTTATGTTTGAAAAAGCTTAAAGGTTTAAACAAGGTAAGCTTCATTAAAAGTATTAAAAAAAAATTTTGACTGTTCTTTTGTATTTCAGATTTGGTATTTTAAATTTTTATTCAATTATTTAATTTTCAATTGATATTCAAGAAAAAGAGGAAAGATAATATAGAGTAAAGAAAATCAGATACAGTATATAACATAAAAATATTCATTAATACAGTATTACTTAAATAGTAAGACTTGCATTTAAACTAATAAGAATAATATAACCTAAACTGAATTACCTTAATTTAAACTGAAAATTTTCTGGATATATTATTGTTATTAGTTTAAATTATGTTTAAACTAAAGTAAATGATAACAATTAAAAAAATTTTGGTACATTACAAAATCTGGAACAATAGTAAGGAATAACTCATTACTAATCCAATAGATTTATCTATTAAGTATTTTTGTTCATTACTAACCCAATGGCTTTATCTAATAAGTATTTTTGTTCATTACTAATCCAATGGCTTTATCTATTAAGTATTTTTGTTCATTACTAACCCAATAGTTTTATCTATTAAGTATTTTTGTTCATTACTAACCCAATGGTTTTATCTATTAAGTATTTTTGTTCATTACTAACATAATGGTTTTATCTATTAAGTATTTTTGTTCATTACTAATCCAATGGCTTTATCTATTAAGTATTTTTGTTTATGATTTTAAACGCTAAAAAGAATAGCATCAAACATCAGCATCATTTTGAGTGTAGTTTTTTTTAGCAATCTAAACAGAAAGTAGATTAGAGAAAAAATTCTGTTAATTTATTTTCAGTGATTAAAGTAGTTTTTTTTTTTTTTTTTTGCAACAAAGCTGGTAATTGCTGCTGGATATTAGTTGTTTTTTATTAAACTTGTTACATCAAAACACTATGAGCAAATTTGATTATTTTGATGAGACAAATAGGCTTGCTATTTCATAGAGAAATGTTATTTATAGAATATACAAAAAACATCTATATTGTATATTTGAGAAGTATTCAGCAACAAGTTGTCTATTTGATAAATGTCAAAGTTCCTATTACTTATCAACTTAAACTGAACACACACAATAAAGTCAAATGTCAGCTGAACACACACAATAAATGCAAATGTCAGCTGAACACACACAATAAATGCAAATGTCAGCAGTTCCACACAATAAATGCAAATGTCAGCAGTTCCACACAATAAATGCAAATGTCAGCAAATGTCAGCAGTATCAAAGTAAAAAAAGCAAAAGTTCAGAGTAATGATTTCGAACAATAAAAGAAACTTTTTTTAGTGATTTCCTTGAAAATATCAAATAAAAATAAGTTTAAAAAATAAATAATCTTTCTTTTACCTTTAAAATGCACAAACCTTTTTCAGCTGTCTCAATTGGAAATGCAACATGTTACTCTAAAGAATTTCATAGTCATTCTTTTATCAACAATATTTAAATTTTTATCATTCTGGTTTTTATAATCCTTAATTGTTTTTGCTTTAAGAGAGTTGGTTATCAAAATTTTATAAAATATCACCAGAAACATTTTGTTAAATAAATTTTTTGAACATTTTGTTCCAAATTTAATCATTTAATATTTACTAATTTAGTTTCAACTTTTCTTTGAAAATTTAGCTCCAAATGCTATCAGTTAAGTGAAGCTTTTCAAAGTCACCTCAGTCATATTTGTACATATTGTATATTGTAATTACTTGTTTAAACTGTTACTAGTAAAACTTGTTACATTCCAGAAGGTTTTAATTTTTGGCAGAATGGCACTGCAACAACATAAGTTACTTCAAGTTTTTTAATATTTTAATGATTTATTAATATATTTTGAAATAAAATTTCATTGTTACAAATGTTAATTAAATTAAATTTTTTTAAAGCTTTCCAACAAAATTATTCAGTGCGCAGTGCAAAAAATACAAGTTTGTTTTAAATAACAAGACAGCGCATTGTTTAATTTATATTTTATGTGAAAACTAATTTCATATGGTATATGTTATTTATATATGGTGATCTCAAAATTACATTTTTGTATTTGGTGTGTCAAAAAAACAATTTAAGGATTTTAGATATTGTTTAAATTTTTGTTGTTAAATTTATAGTTTGCAAAATTTTTAAGTAGTTTTTATTTCTTTTAGTGGATCTATGGTAAAAATACCAGTCTTATGTAGTTTAAATACAAACAAAAATGTTGCAATTTGTAGTTTTAGTTGCAGTCAACAATTAAATGAAAAAAAAAAAATATAATGCAGATTTGGCCAGGAAGGTGTGCAACTTCATGTCATAATACCTGGTAGTGTAGTGGTAAACTGCTCGCTTCATAAGCGGGAGGTTTCTAGTTCAATCTCCACTTTGTCCCTAGTAGTACTGCGCTCGACTTGGTTTTCCGTGCAGTGGCCTTGTTTGTCAAGGATCGTTTTTCAGAGTTATAGTTGAGAGAGGGTTAAAACAATCTTTAGGTAGCCTTTCCATCTGTAGCCTTAAGGAGGTAAATTATATATATATATATATATGTATATATATATATATATAATATATATATATATATATATATATATATATATATATATATATATATATATATATATATATATATATATATATGTATGTATATATATATATGTATATATATATATATGTATATATATATGTATATATATATATATATATATATATATACATATATATATATATATACATATATATATATATATATACATATATATATATATATATATACATATATATATATATATATATATATATATATATATATATATATATATATATGTATATGTATATATATATATATATATATATATATATATATATGCATATATATATATATATGTATATATATATATATGTATATATATATATATATATATATATGTATATATATATGTATATATATATATATATATATATATATATATATATATACATACATATATATATATATATATATATACATATATATATATACATATATATATATATATATATATATATAATATATATATATATATATATATATGTATATATATATGTATATATATTTATATGTATATATATATATATATATATGTATATATATATGTATGTATATATATATATATATATATATATATATATATATATACATATATATATATACATATACATATATATATATATACATATACATATATATATATATATATATATATATATATATATATATATATATATATATATATATATATATATATATATATATATATATATATATATATATATATATATATATATATATATATATATATATATATATATATATATATATATATATATATATGGCCACGCAAATACTATTTAATTTTAAAAACTTGACCACAGTTGTTAATATGTTTAAAAAATTTGTATTTATTTTAAAAACAGACTGAAAAAATTATCTTTATTTTTACTATTAAGAAGCTTTGAAAAAACTTATTGTAAATAAAGAAAAAAACCTTATTGTAAATAAAATAAAATTAACTAAAATTAAAATAAAAGGAATTAAAATAAAAACTTAACTAAAATAAATGTTAACTATAACAATAAGATTATCTAAATTATATTTGAAATAAATAACTTTGTTTCGTCTATCTTTACTAATATTTTTATAATATAATATTATGTGAAACCCTCTTTTAAATCAAGTAACAACTGACATCTAACAATTGTTTAATAAATTTGAACATTTAAAAGTTAAAAAAATAGTTCTTAAAAATTCTTTTTATTTTTATAAAAAATCATTAGCAGTGACTAATTTACTTTAGGGTTATTCCGCATCAAATCACCCAAAATTTAGGAAATTTTGAACCATGGTTTCTCAAATTTTTTAAAATCTTCTTTGGCTGTTGCATCTTTAAAAAAATACATAAAATTTCAGCTAAAAATGTTAAGTGGTTGACAAGATACTGCAATTTTAATATTAACCTGATTTCCCGGTTTTCATAACATTCTAAAAAAATATTTTTCTTCAAAAAATAAGAAATAAAAATGTCAAAAATATGAAAATAAGCATATATAATGTTTTTTTGATGCTGAATTCAATAAATGTACTTAAAATGCTGAAATATAAAAGGAACATTCTTAAAAGTTAATAAAACAACTATTTTCTATAAACCACCTTTGGGGCCCAATATCTCACAACACCCCTGCTAAAATTTTTTTGTTTTGTTTTGTAATATTTTCAGCTGCTTATAATCTTATTAGGCACAAAAAATCTCACTGAAAAAACAACTGAAACATATGGAACTTTAATTTCAGAGATGTATCAAATTTTCAATAAATTAGTTTAAAATACTTGCAAATAGAATCTATAAAATATTAAATTTAGTTTACAGACTCCTTAGAAGAAAAAAACAAAACAGTTTTGTTATATTTAAGGAAGTCTTAATTATATAAGTCTTAATTATATATTTTGTAAAAGTTTAGTTATATTTAAAAATGTATCCTATATGGCAGAAAGCATGTTGTGATCCATTCAATAAAAAAGAAAATCACAAGTAAGTAGATGTTCACAAGTAAATAGATCCATTCAATAAAAAATAAAGTAGATAAGAAATCACAAGTAAATTGATGTAGAATTTAAATATTTTAATATATATACTTTTTTAATTTGTATTTTCCAAAACATAAACAACGTTTCAACAATTGTGCAGATAAGTTTTATACAATTCAATTACTTTTAGAAAATCTTAGAGTAGTTACGATAAATGAGTCACAAGACTCAAGGAGATCAATGAAGAACTCAAAAATTTTTATAGCTTCTCTAAAATTTTAACATCTCCTTTAAAATATCATTCAAAGTCATCAAAACATATACTCTCAGAAGGAAAGCAAAAAGTGGCGCGCATCAATGAAATGATAAGTAATGTTACTAGAAAAACTGAAAGTCAATGTTCCCTCAAAACTGTGTTATGAAACAAATAACATGAAAAAGAAGGCTAAAAATTTTGATGAAATTATGAGCTTGATAAAAAAAAAATTCTATGTTCTGACAAAAAGACTTTTGTTCAACTTCTAACACTGGCACCCCCTAGTTGGTCGATATTAGAAGCACAAAATAACTTTGCAGTTACAGAATACCAAGTAAAGATGGTTAGGCAAATTTTTTATAAAAAAGTGTTGTTAGCTATCTTTCTGTTGTATAAAGGTCAAGTCTTACACAAAGATATAGAAGGTTCTGTGAAATTGTTTTATGACTCAAGTGATTTATGTAGAACTATGCCTGGAAAAAAAGATTATGTTAGCATTCAAAAGAACATCCATAAACAAAAAAAAAACTGCTTTTGTGTAATTTAAAAGAACTATATGTATTATACAATCCAGAAATACAAATAAGTTACTCAAAATTTGCTTCACTTAGATCAAAGTAGTGCATTTTGCCAGGTGCAAGTGGTACACATTCTTTTTGTTTTAGTTCTTATCACCAAAATGCCACATTGCCAGTCGATGCCTTAAATATTTGACTAATTATACAAATAATATTTGTATGAGATTTTTGGAGAATACGAAGATGATTTTGAGACACTACAAGCGATGGCAAACTACTGATAGTGCAACACTATTAAGTATTACAGCAAATGTTCCAACGTTTGTTGAACTATTGGTATCTTGCTTTGAAAAGTTACAAGCTCATTCTTTTATTGCTCACTCTCAATCACAGTACCTTAACCAACTAAAACAAAATATGGATCAATCAAACAATATCATTATTGGCGACTTTGCTGAAAGTTATACTTTTGTAGTCCAAGATGAAATACAAAGCTATCATTGGAACACCCAACAATGTTCTTTACACCCATTAGTGATATACTATAAAGATGATAAAGGTGTACTGAAACATATTTTTATTACTGTTTTATATCAGACATATTACATATGATGTAATTTATGTGTAAAAAATATTTCAATTAATCATACCAATCTTAAAAACAAAATTTTTCAAGTTACATTTATTCACTGATGGTTGCGCAGGACCACACAAAAATTGAAAAAAGCTTTTACAATCTTTGCCAACTAGAGAGCGAATTTGCCCTTAAATTTGAATGAAACTTTTTTACCATGTCTCACAGAAAGTCACCATGCAATGGGATTGGCTGTACTGTAAAAAGGTTAACAGTACAAGAAAGTTTAAAATGACCATACAGAAACCAAGTTCTCACACCAGAAGCTATGTATGAATTTTGTATTGAGAAAATCAAGGTTGTTTACTTCATTTGCATAAAAGGAATGGACTTACAATTGCAATGTGAAGAGCAAAAAGAAAGGTACACCAGTCTAACAACTCTACCTGGCACTCGTAGCTTTCATCAATTTATACATCTTGGAAATTACAGGATTGGGGCAAAGAGATGTAGTACGGACACTAATTGTACAATAATCCACAATCTTAAAAAGAAACAATATATATTTCAACTCGATACTGTCACTTTAGGAGGTTATGTTGCTGTATTCTATCATGATTAGTGGTCGATCGGCACTGTAACTGAAACCAACCTAGAAGAAGCTGATGCTAAAGTTAAGTTTCTTCACCCAAAAGGTCCATTAATCTGTTTAAACTGGCCTGAAAGAGACGACAACTGTTTTATTCCCAACACCACCATATTGAAAAAACTCTGTTCCACAAGCTTGCTCTAGTTCCGGTAGAAACTATGTGTTTGAAAATGCTGAAATAAAAGAAGTACAAGTAAAATGGGAACAATATTGTGAACTATTACAAATACAGTCAAAATAACTTTTTGATACCTTTAAAAATCTTGTATATCAAAGTAGTTTTTTAAGTTTTGATTCACTCATTTTCGTTTTATTTACAAATATTTTGGGGGAGTTTTTTATGAAAAAGTAATACATTTTTAAAATTAAAGTTCCATATGTTTCAGTTGTTTTTCCAGTTTGATATTTTGTGCCTAATAAGATTATAAGCAGCTGAAAATATTAACAGCAAAAAAAAAAAAAAAAATTTGGCAAGGGTGTTTTAAGATATTGGGCCCCAAAGTTGGTTTGCAGAAACTAGTTGTTTTATTTACTTTTAAGTATGTTCTTTTTATATTTCAGCATTTTAAGTACATTTATTGAATTTAGCATCTAAAAAACATTAAATATGTTTATTTTCATATTTTTGACTTTTTTTTTCTTATTTTTTGAAGAAAAATGTATTTTTAGAATGTTATGAAAACCAGGTCAATATTAAAGTTGTAGTATCTCGTCAACCGCTAAACATTTTAAGCTGAAATTTTGCATGCAATTTTTTCTTATAAATAAGAATAATGTGTCAAAATGTAAAACAAAAAGAAGACACATAGTTCAATGGACTGGGTGATTTGATGTGGAATAACCCTTTATTTAAATGTGTTTCAATAATATAAAAACATAAGTAAAAATCTTTCTCTTTTTTCAGCGCATTTGTTAAAAACTGTGGTTAAATTGTCAAAACAAAATATTATTTGTGTGGTCTTATAAAGACTTGAAATCATACACCTTCCTGGTCAAGCCTGAAAATGAAAACTTTTGAATAATTTAAATTGTAATTTGAGTTTTTTTAAATTTTCTCAGTTTTATTGACCTTATTTTTTAGTCTCATTTAGTTGATGCTGGTTTCATCTGGACAGAGCCTCATTCAAAGAGAATTAAAGTAAAGTTGACTATTCAGAAAGAGGCAAGGTTTAATAATTATGTTTTGTAGTGATTTAATAATATATTAAAATAACATTCTGTTCAACGGCGGAAATTGCTTTTTGTACTTAAGCATATCTTATGCAATTTGTTTATACTAACTGCATTTAGTTAAAGCATATCTTATGCAGTTGTTATTTGGTTTTGTAATAAAATTTGTTTATATTTTTCTGATACACCTCTTAGATCCTTTTAATATGTTACTTTAGTTTATGTTTTATATAGTGTAACACTGATACATTGCATATAAATGTTACAACACAACATTTGTCACAAATTTAAACTCGTTGATCATAATTTTTTCAAATTCTTAGGTTCTTGGCTCAACAATCCTGCAACAAACATTTGTTGTAGATTATATTGTCCAGTCTCAAATGTGCGATGATTGTCATCGTAGAGAGGCCAAAGACTTCTGGCAAGCTGTTGTACAAATTCGTCAAAAGGTTCAATTTATTAGTTTAGTTACAGAATAAATGTTAAAAAAATTATTAGAAAAAGTTTTAAATTCTCTAATTATATATCTTGTAAGGTATCACACAAAAAAACATTTTATTATTTGGAGCAACTGATCATGAAACATAACATACACTCAAATTCTCTGAATATCAAGCAAGTTCATGGTAATTTTAATTTTTTTTCAAAATATTTATTACTTAAAAAATCATGCTTTTTTTAAAACAATTTAATAACAATTTTTAATACATTTATTTAGATGGATTAGATTTTTATTATGCTAACAAGCAGCACGCCAAGCGAATGCTAGATTTTCTTCAGACAGTTGTGCCATGCAGGTAACATAATTTTTTTAATTCAAGTTGTGTTTATACATGCTAAACTGAGTGATGAAATTTTTTTAATGAAATCTAAGTATATTAAAAAATATATATACAATTTTATAACAAAATATCTTGAGCTATTTGATTTGAGTAAATTTTTTATTTAGTTGTTTAAACCTATTTTATTAAACTGAATGAAGCATTTTGCATATAACCTTTTTAAAATAGGTTTGGATCCTATAATTGTTTTCTTTGGTAATTTAAGTTTGGGCTATTTATATATATATATATATATATATATATATATATATATATATATATATTATATATGTATATATATATATATATATATATATATATATATATATATATATATATATATATATTATATATATATATATATATATATATATATATATATATATATATATATATATATATATATATATATATAATATACACAAAAAATTACTTAAGAAATAAACAATATAATTATGAAAATGGGTATAGTGGTTCAGAGAACATTGCAAGGTTATACATTTTTATAAAAAAATAGCCAAAATGGTTTAGTTACAATCCCCACTTTCTGAGGAAGGTGTATGATGTATTTAAGGTGTACATATTAAGAAATGGATTATTAAGAATTTGTATTGAGGCTGGTAGTAAAGTTTGTGAAAGAATAAGAATGCCGATGCATTCATCATTATAGCAAAAAGTTTTAAAAGAGTTTAGATTATCAGGAAGATAATTAATATAAATAAACAACATGAAACTAAAGATGGAACCTTGTGGTACCCCAGAAGTTACTGGAAATGAAAGAGAGTGTTGTCCATCATGAACAACTTGAATACTGTTGTTAAAGAATTGAAATGAAAGCTTATAAAGAAGATCAGAATGTCAGACTTTATGGTAAGTCTTTGATATGTCAAGAACAATAATTCTTTCTAATCTGCTTCAATCCAAATTATTAAGTTTAAAACTTATAGAAGTTTCAATTTGTTGCCATAGCAATACAAAGTTAGAATATTATGAAATTATATTTAGAAATATGAAAACAAAAAATACTTGTATTTCTTCACAATAAACAAAACCTTTTTTAACAAGATAAAACTAAATTTAAATCATAACTTTTCAATATCAAGATTAATAATTTTATGGTCCCTCTAAATTAAGTTAACTACATAAATGTAAACCCTAATGGTTTTAATTTTGCACTAATAATTTTTTTGTACATGCATTATGCTACATTTAATAAAATTAAAATTGTTTTCTAAATTTTTAAAAATTTTTAATGTTTAATGATGTTGCTCTACCTTATGACATATACATAAGCATGTATGTGTAATAAGGTATTTTCTTAAGACGTAAAAGTTATTTTAATGATGTGGATAGATTTTCATAATATTAGCTATAAGTTTTAGCTGTGAGTCACTAAATCACAAAAAATTTAACTTCAAATTATGAAATAAAAAATCATTAGAAAAATGAGCGCCACTTTTTTAATGATTTCTTATTTTATAACCTATTTGTTTGTGGCGCGTCTTGATTGTGGTGCGCCTTATTTGTGGTGCACTATTTCTAATATTGTATATTGAATGGTTAAAAAATGTTATGTAAGGTTCTTAATATGGGTTTTGGACAAAGTAATTTAAAATAGAAATCACCTAGGTAAAATAATGAAAATTTGATGATAATTTTTAAAAAGTCTGGAAGCACAGATAAACTTGTTGTTAGAGCTGTTATAATTATTTTATTATTTAATGAACTCAAGTCTTCCCAGGAGGCGCAAGCGTTTTTCCTCTTGTATGTCCATGCAGAAGTTTTTTATTTTAGACAACTTGGTCACATTTTTATTTCAAGTGTCAATAAAACTTGCCCTTTGCAAGTTTTATATTATTCATTTCAATACTTAGTGAAAAAAAAATAAGTTTCAAAAACAAAAAAAGAAAAACTAACAAAGTATGTAACTAAAATAAATTTGAATAGAAAAAAATTAATATTTCAAATAATTTCTGTACTGTTTTCTGTATAACCGGACTCAAAAACCAGATACTTTTAGTGAAACATACATGTCTGTAGGTTACATTAACATTCATCATTTGCAAATGGACTTGAAAAACAGTTACTTTATTGGAATGTATATAGCCGTAGGAGCCGGAAAAAAGAGAAAAGATTATATTAGAGTAAAAGTTAACTTCTAAAAGGTATTGGGCAGAAGTTTAGTATACAAAGTTTAAGTAAAGATTTATTATTAATAGATTACCTAAATTTCACCAATAACATAGTATACCAAAAGGAAAGGGGGCAGGTAAAACTAAGCGTACTGAGCCGAATGTTAATAAGCCACATGTATCTAAAATTACCTAGCCCTAAAAGATTGGGTAGCGCTAAAAATTGGAATAAAAGTGTACAGAAATAGAAAAGTAATATGAAACAATTAAGGCTACGTGAAAAATGTGTAAACGGCATGGCATAATTGAAGCTTAAAGACTATGCATATATGTGTGTGCGCCTTAGAAAATGTTTACTTAGAAAATACACTAAGAGTATAAAATGGTATAAGAAATCTGAATGTGAAGAGATGTGTATTATTCAAAAACATACAACAGAAATAGTTTTTATAAATGAAAAAGAAAACATAAATGGTTACAAAGCCAATATATGAGCAGCAATATTTAAATGAAAAACAATGAAAAACAATAAAAAACTGGATAGTGATAAGATTCGAACCATGACAATGAAGTAAACACCTTATCCAAGTAAGCTAAACATAAACATAATGTAAAAATAAATATAATTATAAAATTAAAAAAGTGGTGTAAAAGTAAAGCCTATGAGGTAGATATGTATATACGCATACATAAACCGACATATGAGTTTACATAAACATATTCGCCTGCATTACATAGACGCATTTATTTAGGGATAATAAATACTTGTTACATTAAAGTTATTAAAGCCTTGCCTTGCCTTTATCCAATTTCGTTGCTGAAAATAACAACCACCCTAAAGAGATAAATATAAAAACAGTTCACAAATTATTAAAATTATTATTTATTTTTTCTATTTAATTTTATTTCAATTTCCTATTTTGTTAGTTTAGCTTTTTTTGTTTTTGAAACTTTGAAATTTTTATCTGCAGAGTGTTAATGAAATGTTTATTATAATAAAACCTGTAAACAACCATGACCAATTTATCTAAAATAAAAAACTTGTGGTTAGACATACAAAACAAAAAACCGCATGCGCTTCCTGGGAAGGGTTGGAACTCATTATTTATAATAATTTCATTATTTTAAAATTTTATAATCCATATTATTTAGATTTAAAACATCTGAAAGACTAATTTCACATGATATTCAGAATAACACATTTAACAGTAAAAGCACATTTTCAGTCGAGTTGGCACCAATTTGTAAAGTAAAGTTTTATACTTTATAAATAAATTTATTTAAATAGTTTTAAAAAATACAAAATAGTAAACCTTCTTGTTTTTTATTTTTAGAATGACATAATATGTCTGCCAAAAAAAGTTGCAAAGTCATTAAGCAACATCAGGTAAGAATAAATTAAATCTGAGTTAGTAGTTAACTATTATAGTTAACTTATATAGTTACGTTACGATAAGTTACGTTAGTTAAAAAATATATATTATGTAAAACATAGTTGGACCTGCTCTTGCAGCCAACCTTCAAACATTATCACATCGTCGTAATGTTGCTTCTCTTTCTCTTTTCTACAAATACTATAATGTGCACTGCTTCAAAAAAGCTAGCGTTTCTTGTGCCATCTACTAAAATTCACTCTCGTGTTACTCGTCGTTCAATTAAGTCTCATCTTTTTTCTGTTACTGTTCCTAAGTGTTCCAAAAACTTTTATTTGTCTAGTTTTTTTTCTTGATCAGTTCTTTGGAATTCGCTTCGTTCATCTTGTTTTCTTGATTTATATAATTTGCAATCTTTTTAGTCATCTGTCAATTGTTTTCTTGCTCTACAATCTTCATCTTTTCTCTTTTACTTGTTGGAAGCGAAGATGTTTAAATATATATATATATATATATATGTGTGTATATATATATATATATATATATATATATATATATATATATATATATATATATATATATATATATATATATATATATATATATATATGTGTGTGTGTGTGTATATATATGTATATATATGTGTATATATATATATATATATATATATATATATATATATATATATATATATATATATATATATATATATATATATATGTATATGATGTGTATGGACTATTTTATAATGTTTACATTGTTCCCTATTTTACTTTGCTTTTCTGTGGCTTAAATTTTCTTAAATTAAATAAAAGTTATATATTATTTTAAAAAAACTTATATTATTTTATATTAAACAATATATTTGAAATTTTAAACCGGTTTTGAGAATTTTTTTTGGTTACAGTTCGGTTTTTATTTTACATTAAACATTTAGATCGGTTCGGTTAAACTCGCTTTTTTTGTTTCGGTTTACACCGAAAGAGCGGTTCGGTTAACCGCACGGCCTTATTAATACATGAAAAATCTAATCTTAATCAATAATTTGCTTTTTACTTGTAAAAAAATAAAAAAATTTCTTATGTTATTGAAAAAACTTTCAAAATCCATGTATAATTTACAAACAAAGATATAATTTATAGGCAAAACTAAAAACATCTAATAATTTTTTAGTCTGTTGTTTTTAGATTTTACTAATAGATAATAATATCTCAATAATTATCAATAGATTATAACATAAAAGTGATGTCAATCATTTATGATTTTAAAGGTTTTAAATAAAATTAAACATATATGATTTTAAAGGTTTTAACTAAAATTAAACATATATGATTTTAAAGGTTTTTACTAATATTAAACATATATGATTTTAAAGGTTTTAACTAATATTAAACATTTATGATTTTAAAGGTTTTAACTAGGGCTGTACCGGATTTAATTTTTTCAAATCCGGCCGGAGCCGGATTTGCCGGATTTCTACTGACAGATCCGGCCGGAATCGGAGCCGGAGCCGGATTTCAAAACAAAACTACAGGAGACAAAATCCAGTACATCCCTACTTGGTGTTGAGCATGGTCAACAATGTGGACTATTCAGAATACCAAGTGACTGCTGTTTTCTGTTAAACTTCATTGTTGTTATTTAAAAAGTTTTATAGCAATTTCTATATATAAATTAATAGAAATTCTAAAGAAATTCTATAGGCCATATGTTTTAAAAGTTTATAGTAATTCTGTTGAACTTTTTTTCCGGAATTTTGTCACTCCGCCACTGTAGTGGATCATTGTGTCTATTTATTTCTGGTTCTTTCGGATATTTCCTTAGTTGAGTTTTAATGCCTTTTAGTAATTGTTGTTTATGTGCCCTGCCACCAGCGGACGTAGACTGAATAATTTTATCAATAAATTGCCAGAGTAATGATGATGATGATGTAGAAAAATTATTAAGCCCGGCTTATTTTGGTGGATTTTCTTCAGTTTTTTCAATTTTCTGTTCAGCATGCTCAGATTGACTTCAATCTTGTTTTTTCAGCTGTCAGTGTTGCCTGTAATGAGGAGAATTTAGTTTTAAATTGTGAGTCAACCAGCCTCGTCAGTATATAAAGAGGTTTCTTTTTTCAATGCTTTTAAAACGCTCATCCAATCACTTGATTAGGGTTGACATCATAGTCTTTATACCTGCATCACTGTAGAATATCGTGTGTCTTCCCTTCAGAATTTTTTGTTGCGTTGTTGTTTGAAATTAGACTAAGCTTATTAAATTATAAAGAAATATAAATACAAATACCAAAACAAATATGAGGTTCATAAAATATAGAATTACAAAAAAAAAATTGATTTTTATAAATAAAATATTAGGTATACATGTAAACACGGGCAAAAAAAATGTAATAAATATTTGACAAAATTCAAAACTCCGGCTAAAATTATGCCGGATTTGCTAAATTTTTGCCGGAGCCGGATTTGGGCCGGATTTGTAAAAATGGCCGGATTTCAGCCGGAGCAGGAGCCGGAGCTGAAATCCGGTACAGCCCTAGTTTTAACTAATATTAAACATATATGATTTTAAAGGTTTTAAATAATATTAAACATATATGATTTTAAAGGTTTTAAATAATATTAAACATATATGATTTTAAAGGTTTTAACTAATATTAAACATATATGATTTTAAAGGTTTTAACTAATATTAAACATATATGATTTTAAAGGTTTTAACTAATATTAAACATTTATGATTTTAAAGGTTTTAACTAATATTAAACATATATGATTTTAAAGGTTTTAAATAATATTAAACATATATGATTTTAAAGGTTTTAAATAATATTAAACATATATGATTTTAAAGGTTTTAACTAATATTAAACATATATGATTTTAAAGGTTTTAACTAATATTAAACAGCAAAAAAAAAAAAAAGAAAAGATATCGTTCTTCTCCTTACTCATAAATGAAAAAACAAACAAATACAAAAAACTAATTCTTTGATGAATCCTGAGTATAAAATGTTGTTGTAGTTTGACAAGTTTCTAACTGACATTTAACTGAAGGTCTAAGGTAACTACAAATTAGTTTGACAAGGTTCCAATTAATCGGTTAACCCTAACTCCATACTCTTCTGCTGTTTTTTCAGTTATTTATTTTCAATTTAAATTTTATGCTCGTTAAAAATCATTTAAAAACGTTTGTCTTGAATATCAACATAGAGTGTTCTTAATTTCTGTCTCTTAATTTAACATTGATGTAAACAAAAACATCACTATATCACAAATATTTGCGATTTTTTATAACCTTACACAGCTTAACTTAACTTAATTAAAATGTCCATTTACAAATAGTTAATTACATTGATGTAATTAATTGCATTAATTATATCGAATTAGTTACATTGTCCTGTTACACTATCTACTTATGTTACCATTGAAATAACTATTAAAAACAAAAATATAAGGTGGTTTTATTAGATAAAACTCTTTATTAGTATTTAAATTTGATTCTGCTTTTTCACAAACATATCGTTAGTTGATATATGTTTGCAGCGTTTATACTTAACAGTCTGCCAGTGTAATAGCATTTTATAGTTTAGCGTGTAATAGCGTGTAATAGTTTAAGACATTCAATTCTTAAAAAAAGAAATATATTTCTTAAACTATAAACACTAAATATACAATGTAAATCTTCAAACAAGAGACAAATTTCTTACTCTGTAATATATTTCTTAAGACAAGAAATATACTTCTTTTTTTAAGAAACAAATTGGGTGATAGGAAATTTATTTCTAAAAACAAGATAAATATTTCTTGTTTTAATAACTAGATGTCTTAAACTATGGGCTAAGATTTAGGATTTTGCTGTGAAGAAATGCTACTTGTAATATTTTTCATCAGTTAAAGATTTATTGTTCAAGATTTATAAATTAAATCTTATGGATTACTTGGCATTAATTAGAAACTGTTTTAAAATATCTTTTTTTTCTTGTCAGAACTTCAATGACGAAAAAATATTTTTTTCTTAAAAAAAAATATATATTGTTATCTCTTTAGACATTGCTTCTAGGCAACTCTTTTTCTTTACCTATGAATGTATCTACATTTAGAGTATCTAGCAACTCCTACATCAGTACAACTTGCTCATTTCCAATTAACTCAAATTGACTCCATAGGTGATCATATATCCTGCAATTGAAGTGCCCACAAATGGTTTTAGAAAATAGAGAGTGTGATCCTACATATATTGCTATCAGATCTAGAAAACATTGTTTTATTTTACATCGCAAATTTAAAATATTTTAAGATATTGCTAGAAACATTTCATATTTTTAACTTTATGCTTAATTATATGTTTAACTATAAATACTAATATATAAATAATTGTGCAATTTAATTAAATTTTTTCTGATAAAATATCTAAAACGCTAAAATATTAAATAAGAAAGAAAATTAAGAGCAATTTAAATAAATATTTCGTTCCCAAATTTTATTTATATAAAAAACAGTTTACACACACACATGTAATATATTTGTGTGTATAAACTATGTTTTTTTATATTAATATATATATATATATATATATATATATATATATATATATATATATATATGTGTATATATATATATATATATATATATATATATATATATATACACATGCATATATATATATATATAAATATTATAAATAAATTAAACAACAGGCTAGGTCGGGAAGCGGGTGCGATTGCACTCAATAATTGACCACGGAAATATTATTTAGTTGCAAAAAACCGGCCAGATTTTATAGTCGTTTTGAGAACATTTCAAAAACAAACAAAAAAGCGCAATAAGATTAACTGGACCAATGAGAGACAGTTAAAAAAAGGAAAATAGCTTTTAACGCGAAAAAACTTTAAGCAAAATAAATTTATTAGAGCAATTATTTTTGAAACGTCGATCTTTTATAATTTTTCTTATAAAATTAAGCGTCATTTTTTATATAAAGTAACAACTATAAAGAAACAAATGTTCTTCGATTTA